TTCTGTTAGCAGAAGAAAGCAGAGATATGACAGCCATTACAACTTCTATTGGGCTCTTTCACCATATAACTTTAGTCTAAGAGGCAACAAATTTGCCAGCTCAAGCTCAACACAGAATAATGAAGATAATATGTGAGGTTTTTCCAGAGATTGCTCAAGCCTTTATGGATGATCTTGGGGTAAAAGAATCACATATCAAAGATGAAACTAAAGTCCTCCCAGAAATAAGAAGATTTGTTTATGATTATCTGCAGAATCTGAACTATGTTTTATAGCTTGTTGAAATCTCTGGAGCCAGAATCTCCAGTGCCAAATCTTAATTCTGCATGTCTGGAGTCAATATTGTTGGATGGGTCTATAACTATAATAGATGATAACCTGAGGAAGCCAAGGTGGCTAAAATTGCAAATTGGCCTACTCCTACAAGTGTTACAGAATTATAAGAATTTCTAGGGCTTGCTGGATATTTCTGAATACTCATAAAGCATTATAGTTGAATAACTGAATCTTTACATTATCTGCTTTGATGAAATTTTATATGGACATGAACTGAAGAGCAAAATAACATCTTTATGCTTTTGAAAGAAAAGTTATGTTTATTTTCTATCATTCTTCCAATCAATTACAAACAGAATCCTTTGCTTATCACTGTAGCTGTTGATGCCAGTGAATTAGAATAGGGAGAATGCATTATTTAGAAGTAATAAGGACCTTGACATCCTGCATGATACAAATCTGAAGTATGGAGTGATTCAGAGAAAACATATAATGCTGGCAAATGAGAATGCAAAGCTGTTTTGAAAGTCTTCAAGAAATTCTGACACCATATCTATGGAGTGCCCTTTACTTTGAAAATCAATGTAAAAACTCTTGTTGCCCAACTTAACAGGACTGCTACAGATGTTTCAGAAGCTTTGGTTATCAATTAGATAGCTTGAATACACCTCTTCAACTTTACTGTTAAACATGTTCTTGGGACAAAACACACAGCTGCTGATGGACTATCTCATCAAGAACTAGATATTGAGAAACAGCCTGAATCTGAAGAAGATGAAGATCTGTTTGTCTTTATGGATTCTATAAGAGTTTTAGCTGGCCAAGTTCTTGATAGTGAAGACCTTAGGATACTGGACTCCACATATTCAGAAGAATCAGAGAAGATTGCACAATACCTAACCACTCTATCAAAACCATTGGGCATGGAAGGGAAAGAGTATGCGAAATTCCAAAGAAAGGTAATTAAATATGTGGTGAAGGCCAATCAACTATTTAGGTCAGTGAGATCTGGTGTGTCTCTAAGACATGTTGTGGACAACAAAGAACAGTATGAACAAATTTTACACATGATGTACAACAAATTTAGTAATAAAGAGCAAGAGAAAATGTACTCTGCTCTACAAGCTTGATACTGGTAGTCAGAAATATATAAAGATGTGTCTGCTTATGTGAAGCACTGTTCTCAATGTCAACAAAGAGATTCATAAAGATTGAGTGAAAAGCTTCATCCTATCTGAACTTCTATCTGTTAAGAGAAAGTTGGGATAGATATCAAGCACATGCCTTCCTGTTGAGGACAAAATTATTTGGTTGTTGCCAGATGTAACTTCACTGAATGGGTGAAAGCTAGAGTCTTGAAAAAGGCAACAGCTGAAGCTGTGGCCAAATTTCTTTATGAGAATATTATCTGTCAATGGGGCCTGCCTGCCAAATTTGTTATGGATGGAGGACCAGAAAATAAGAATATTGTGGAGACCTTACTGAAGAAATTCAACATTAAATATATTGTTATTTTGCTCTATAACTCTTCTGTAAATGGTATGATGGAAGTTGGCCATAAGTCTTTGGCTGATGGGCTAGCTAAAGCTACCAATGGCACTGGAAGGCATTGAATTAAACATCTTCCTGCAATTCTGATGGCAGATTGAATGACAACTAAGGCTAGTACTGGTGTTTCCCCTTATAAATTACTAATGGGCCAGGAGGCAGTTCTTCTGATTAAACTCAAGATTCCTACTTGATAAATGATTTCCTGGTGAAAGATTTGAACAACTGAAGACCTGCTTCTGATGCAAGCACAGCAAATTAAAAGATGAGATGAGAATATTCTGAAAGCAGCTCATTATCAGCTCTGAATGTGCACTAGAAATAAGAAATACTTTAATAATACTTATAATATTCAGACCAACCCTCTTCTATCTAGAGACCTTGTCTTGCTTCACAATATCAAGAGAGAACAGAATATGTCTAGAAATAACATCCTGCACTTTTGATGGCTAGAACCCTATAGAGTTAAGTTTGCCAATCAAGAACTAGGTTCCTATCATCTTGAAGAGTTAGACAGCACTGAACTCAAAGAATATATTGCAGGAAACAGATTGAAGAAGTATCTTATAAAATCTGAAATGAAGCCATTCAATGATAGCTCAGCAGATTCTGATGTAGAGATGGAGAACATCTCTCAAAGATATATCACCAGAAGTCAACCTAACATTCTCTCTAGCAGTTTCTCAGATGTCAGCTTCTTGAATCAGAGTGAAAATAAAAATGATCAAGAAGAAATGGAGCAAACACAATTTCCAACTGTTATACCAGATGACTGGAGCTTTGCTGTTGTTATACCTTCACAAGATGTTTAATTTGTTGTGTTTTGTTTGCAAAAGTGAAGTTTTTACTTGCTCTTTCAGAAAGTTTCTCTTTCTTTGTTATTTGCATAAGTCTTCACTTTTTCTGAATTTTTTGAAGATATTTAAAGGTTAATTTTTCTTTCCTGGAGCTTTTACTTTCTTTTACATTCAAGCTTGATTCTTTTTACAGATTCAACATTTCATTTGCAAATTTTTTTGATCCCTGATATCCTTCAAAAATGGCTGGACAAAGCAACCTGCCTCCTTTAGCACCAGCAACCAAGAACCAAGGTCTGGTCATTACCAGAGACAGTGGAGTCAACTTGGATGGCCATTTCTTCAATAACCTAACAGCAGCTATGAAATACATCAATAATCAAGCTCTGCACCATCAATATAGTCTACAAGTTGAGCTGATGAACACACTTATGCAAGTGACTGATGTAGTCACTAACTTAGTGGCTCATTTTTATCAATATGTTGAAAGATTCAGAGCTTGGCAACATGTTATGCATGCTAATTTTGAAGCTGATTTCCATGATGCTTGAAAGATTACTCTGGATGTCAAACAACATCACATTAATATACAAAAGATCAAGAATAGGCTTGTTGCTACATGGGAGATAGACAGAATTGATATTATATGGTTAAAAGTGGAGAGTCTATGAGCCATATAAAAGCTTCACCATACTCTAAATGTCTACAAGAATTGGAATAAGTTCACCAACAATATTAACAGCACAGTGCTTCAAAGACTAGATGCTACAGAAGCTGGACATCACCAGAGCTTAGCTATATTGCCAGGCAATTATACTATAGCTGACAAAGAAGTTAATTACACCTGCAAACTTCCTTCAAGAGATGCTCTACACCAACAAGAACTTACTATTGGAAACTATGATCTTCTATAGTCATTGGCTCTTCCACAGTCATCTAGCTCCCAATATTCAATTCAGGATATCACTAGAAGTCCTCCCACTGCAAGCAGCTCTCAAGATCTACTAGAAGAACCACAGTCACCAAGATCACCAAGAGATGTTCCAATGAGTAGAATGTTAATGCTATATAGCCACAATGTATCAGAAGCCTCTATACATAGTACAATGTTAATTAGATTACATGGATTGGAAACTGGCCAATTACAGCCATCATTTGGATTCACCAGCACACTGGCCAATCCACCCAGCCAATCAGAAGCTTCAAAGCATCACAGTAAGAGAATTGCAGCCATGTCAGCACACCAAACTCTCCAAGACCTAGGCAATGAAGATAAGTCCATTATTTCTCCTGAAAGTGATGAGGAAATACCCTGACATGAACAAGAAGAATCTGTTATAGCAGTACACTCTGGTACTTGCTGTTGCCATGGTTTCAAACAGCAGCTTCTTTAAAAAATAAAGAGTACTAAAACATGTTCAGAATTGAAGCTTATTCACATCCTGAAGCAATTAGAAAAGGTCTTTAGCAATAAGAAAGCTGATATCTATCTATGCTATGACCATGCTAAACTAATAGCTTCAAAACTTGGTTTGCAGACTCACACACTTAATAGGGAGAAGCTTCTCAACCATTTAGCTTACATCCATAGAAATCATCACAACATTGGCTCAGTCAAGACCAATGACAGTACCTACCTCTGGTTCTGTTTGGCAAATAGACCAGCTAGAGCTGAAGATGCTTTAGACATTTACAAATTCAAACATCAGCCAATTATCTCCCTGGTCACAAATATGAGAACATTTAACTTCAACTGATACATGTGAATTACTGGAGTTAACAAGTTCACCACCAGCAATCTTCAGAAGGAATGGGAAACAACTAGATCTATTGTCATTCTCCAGCTAATGCACTGGTGGAACAATAAGTTACAAGATGCCACCACTACAGTACTCACATGCGTCAACAGCAAATACAACATGTACTACCATCATCAGCAAATAATGGGAGGTCACAACAATTATGGATGGTTGAGAATAATGTATCACAGTATCAGCCAACAACTTATGTGCCAGGACTCTGCATACTATCTATGATACATACTAACAAGACCCAACCACACTTGAAAATTAATCTTCTACCCATACTACACCAAGTATGCTAAGCCAGGGGATAAAACTGGGTTTCACCATATCAATGTCAATGTTCCAGATGCTATTACTACTGGAAGAGGTGTTAATATGATACAAGAATCCTTGACCTTAACTGCAGAAGAGTCCAGCAACTGTACAGAAATCTTGCCAGAAATGCATAACCATCTAAAGAATTAGTGGGGACTAGTCAAAGAACAAGGCTTATCTACTGATAGCTATGTTCACCACATTAAAGATACAATGTATATCAAAAACAATAAAAGAAAATTTGATATTAGATGGACCAATGTCATTTGCAAGCCTGGTGATGTCTGAGTTACAAGCTCTCTACTACCCTATAGAGCCCATGGCCCATGCAAAAAGGTCTGATGCACTATGCTACCCTGGTATGTGGCAATCCAAGAGGACCATGAACATCTAGAAATCAATAAAGCTGATATATAATTCCAGCTCTCCACTGCACATAGAGATCTAGTTCCAGGGCCTTTGTCTCCATCCAGTCATTCAAATTGTTATGCATTGGTTCCATATCAATTCCCTACCACTATTCAATTACAAGACTTAGGAGCTATATCAGATGCCCTGGTAGGACAAATTAGGTGGGACAACCCCATGGTAATTAAGGAACTTGATATTCTCTTTGGCCCTGATGACAAAAAGGCTCAGGACTTCATTAATAACTGGTGTCTAAAGGCCATGCAAATTGCTCTGGATGTCATTGCCAATACTTACCAAATTGAAAAGAAAGCTTTTGATAATAAATTCTATTGGCATTGTGTGCACAACAACATTAATCCAGCATCAGTTCAGCCTTCTCCTTCTCCTGAGAACTTGGTGGAAGAAGAGAATCATGATGATTACTATTAGAGATTGCTGCTATCACTCTCCTTATTCTTATTTCCTATGTTTTTTCTTACCAGACTGCTCATTACTATTTATTATTCTCTTATTTTACTAAATTGGTTTTATTTTATTTTATATATTGCTTGTTGTCAGGGGACACCAACATTGAAGACCAGAAGAAAATGTAGTGGGGATTTCAGTATCTCATTAGAATAAAGATTGTTCCAGTCTGAGGCACAAACCACCCCAAGCTACTATTCTTGAGCTATATAAATCATCTGTAGCTCCTGCTTCTTGCTTATTATCTTCACACACCATTGCTCTTTTCTACACACTCATTTCTTACTACTAGTTCAGTTATTAGTTAGAGAATATGAAGATTTCTTGTTCATGAAACATGCTACTGTTTCTCATTAGAGCTGCCTGTATTAGTACAGGGCTCTTTAGTACTATTACTTCTTATGAGCTTAGGCATCTGTTAGAACATACCTATCTCTACACTTACTACTTGACCATACTCTTACTATATTGTGATTTTTCACCTTTCTTGTGCTCTCACCATATCAACCAACTTGCCTACCTTCATGAGGCATCCCATTGTACCCCACTTCAATACCATTGTCAGGCATCACCAAAGAAGAGTGGCAAAATGTGAGAATTGTATGTGTGGATTAGCATGACAATGAATATTTAAAAGAAATATATATAGAAAAAGAGTACATGAGATAAAAGATCTGTATTCTGGCAACTATATATAACTTGTAAACAAGATTGCCACTGACTTCCAGCAAGAGATTTTTGCAGTGACAGCCTTTTATGTGTGCTTATGAGTATGTGACTTAGTGTCTTGTGAGGATGCATGCAACTCCCAGCAGCTTGCAAGCCAAGCCCTCTGGCCCTCGCGGGTGCTGTTTGTCTGTGTAAGGGGTTCACAGCAAATCCTTACACTTGAACACATTGTGTCAACAGAAGAAATACAAATAGAGCCAGAAAAAATCAATAAGATACTACAATGGCCAACACCAAAAGAAGTCAAAGAAGTTCAGATGTTTCACAGACTAGCAAATTACTACTGACAGTTCATACATAAATTTTTGAAAGAAGCAAGACTGCTCACACAGCTATTCAAGAAAGACAAAGTGTTTAAATAAACAACAGAATGTTAACAAGTGTTTGAAGCAATAAAAGACAAATTCAGAAAAGAAGAAATGAGGTAACACTACAATCCAACAAAAAGATATATGATTGACATGGATGCATTGAACTGTGCAATAGCAGGAAGATTGCAGCAACCAGACAAGCAAGAAAAACTATAATTAGTTATATGCTATGCAAGAATGATGACACCAGCTGAACAGAACTACAATATTCACAATAAAGAATTACTTGTAATAGTGGCATTACTGAAGAAATAGAAGATTGAATTACAAGAAAATCAACACCAGACAGAAATCATCTCAGACCACAACAATCTGTAATACTTTATAACAACTAAAGAGCTTACAAGACAACAAGCCAGATGGTATGCAGATGTACTAGTACACTATAATTTCAGAATACAATACTGCAAGAGCACAGAGAATGTCTGGGTGAACACATTAAGCTGAAGACCAGATCTTATAAGAAAAAAATAAGATTCAAGAATACTCTTCAAGAAGTTGGAAGGAACAAAGAATATAATTCTGAACTGACAGATATTAAGAGTCACAAGAATCACAACAGAAGAATCAGATATCAAAAAAATGATTAAAGAGGCAATAAAGAAAGATGAATATACAAAAAAGATTAACAAGAAAAACAACAACTTTAACAAAGAAGATAAAATAATACTATATTATGGATTGATATATGTATTCAGAAAAGTCAGAAAGCAAGTGATGGTACAAGAATATGACACAATCACTGCAGGACATTTTGGGATCAACAAAATAATAGAAAGAATCACAAGAACCTACTATTGACCAGAAATGTGAACAGATATTCAACAACATGTCAAAGAATGTAAGATGTGTGCACAAAGCAAAATTAACAAACACTAACCATATAAAAGACTACAGCCAATACTACAACTGCAAGGACCATGAAGATTTATAGTAATAGATTTTATCACAAAACTCTCAAATTCAAAGAATATGGAAGGGAAAAAGTACAACTCAATACTAATAATCACTAACAGATTGACAAAGTACAGATATTTCATACTGTTCAGAAAAGTAAAAACAGCACCAGACACAATACTGATAGTACCATGAAATGTACTTGCCAACCATGGAATGCCAGAAGAGATAATCACAGACCAAGATATCAGATTCATAAGCAAGTTCTGGATAATACTGATGGCACAACTGGGAATTGAACAAAAGATGTCAACAGTCTATCACCCACAAACAGATGGACAGATGGAGCAACTGAATTAAATCTTGAAGCAATATCTGCAAGAATATATCAACTACCAGCAGAATAATTGGATTTCACTACTATTCATGGCACAATTGGCATACAATGGAGTAAAAAACACCACTATAAGAATGATATCATGTTACATAAACTATAGCAGAGAACCAGAAATACAGAAGCAACTAAGAATTGCATAGCAAAGAGCTCAAGCAGTAGAACTTACAGCAATATAACTACAAGAACTGCAAGATCAGATGAAACTAGACATCAAATTCCTGAATAAGAGAATAAAATACTACTATAACAGAAGGCATCAGAAGGCATCAATTCTGAAAAAGAGGGAAAAAGTATTTCTAATTCAATGGAATATCAAAATCAAAAGACCAGGCAAAAAACTTTGATTTCAAGAAATTGGGACCATACAAAATCACAAAGCAGATCAGAAAAGTCAACTACAAACTTCAGCTACCCAAAAAGATGAGAATACACCCAGTATTTCATGTCTTATTATTAAAAAAAGCACTGCTACACACTAAAGAAATGCCCACAGAAATCAATGAAGAATAAGAATATGAAGTCAAACAGATACTAAATCATCAGAAGATCAGCAGAAAACTTTACTATCTAGTGAAATGGAAAGAGTACAATATCTCAGAAAACACCTGGGAATCAACAGAAAACCTCAGAAATGTCTGAATAATTATTGAGATATATCATCAATAATACTCTCACTTAGCAAAGCATTAACAAACAAATCAGAAATAACTAAAAGAGAATCTAAAAAAGGAAAATTATTTAATAAAGCAAGCAAGTTTTGAATCTCTGTCTGCTCAGCCACTTTTTTCTGTTTCTTCTTTTCAAGATATTCTAGATCTTCTACAGACTTTAATTCAGACTCAAGAAATTTACTGGCTTGATTATAAAGTAACTTTTTCTGCTTTTGAAGATAAAGAAGATAAGAGAGAGTTTCTTGCTCAGTATGCTCAAGCTTATTCTGAGTCTCAAACAACTTCTGTCAATCAGCAGCAGAAGAACTATCATTATAAATACAACAACAATCAGCATAAACACACTTGCTACACTGTGAAGAATAACTCAACTTTAGACAAGTTTTACCCAGTAAAGAATATTGAGAGCAGAGAGAGAGCATAACAAATCCAGATTACTTAATAATAAAAAGAAGATTATTCTTACAAACATTAAAAGTAGACAGCATGGTGAAAGAAAACCATGAAAACACTTACTAGAAACAAGAAAACAAAGAAAAAATCCAGAAGCTCAAAAAAGAATAGAAGATTACTTTTTTATATTTCAGAAGACAAGAAGCAGAGCAGTTGGGAACAATATACTGTAAAAAAAGAGAATGATGTTATGAATCTTGTAGCACAGCAGCTGAAGAGACAGAACAATTGAACAAGACCTGACAAGACAGAGTTACAGACTGTTGTGGAGAAACCTTAGAACAGAAAGTCACATAATCAGCAATAGAACTGATAAGCTGACCAATTACACTGAGTACAATAGAACTGATCAGAGAATATAGCAAGCATACTACAATAGAATGAATAGGACAGCTTAGCAGAACTATTACCAGAAAGCATCATATATATAAGAATACTTATTATCAGAGATCTGATGAACTCATTTATTATGATCAATCTTTTTTATTATCTTACAGATATCTTTGAATCAGATATCTTCATATCTTGATTACTTTCCATATTATTGAAGTCTTGTGATACTGTACAATTATATCTGATATTATTACTTTTGAGAAGGCACAATAGCCTTGTCCTGACTCTGATATACCTGCACAGAAACCTTTTGTCATCAGAGCAAGACTGTCCACTTAACCAGAGCATTATTAAACTATTGATCACTACACTCCAATCTGTTGTTATTCTCCTAGAGCTCTTTGATACCCTTCAAACCCTCAAAGAACCCCAGGAGACCTCAGTCAACACAATACTACTACTGATTGAAGATGTATTGTATAAGCTTACAGAAGCTGCAATATTCACTCAGTTGGATATCAAGAATACCTACCATAAATTGAGGATTCACAAAGAGAATGAGTGGAAGACTGCATTTCAGACTTTACAGAAGCTATTTGAGTACTTAATAGTGCTTCTTGAACTCACAAATGCACCAGCAGCCTTCTAATTATAGATCACAAAGACACTTAGCAGATACCTAGATGTATTCACAGTAGTCTATCTTGATGATGTGGTTGTGTACTCAGCTCACAAGGAAAATTATAAGAGGTATGTGAAATTAGTACTTAAGATACTCAAGAATACAGATCTTTATTGCAAGCTGGTAAAGTGCAAGTTCAATGCTTACAAGATTGACTACCTTGAGTATATTATAACACCAGAGAATGTTCTTATGGAGAAGAGCATTATAGATACTATTCTTGACTGGCCAGAGCCAATCAGTAAGAAAGAGATTCCACTCATTTTAGAATTCACAAACTTTTACAGGTGCTTCATCTCAAGATTCTTTAAGATAGCCTGCAGCCTGACTGCTCTTCTAAAGAGAGAAAAGACAAAGCTAAGCAGACACATATAAAGAGAGATGAGAAGAGAAACAAATACTTTCATAACTCAGAAAGATCATAAAGTCTTTAGAGATCTGAAAAGAGCATTTGTGGAAGCTGTTATGCTTCACTATTTTGATATGGAACAGAAGATCAGGTTGGAAACAGATGCATCTGACTTTATAGTATGTGATATTCTATTATAGCTGGTAAAGAATGGCATTTGAGTTCCAGTTGGATTTTATTTACAGAAGATGCAACCTATAAAGATGAACTATAGCATTCATAATTAAGAATTGCTTGTGATTGTAGAGTTATTTAGATATTAGCACTGCTGATTAAAAGACTTGCAAACATCAGTTCAAGTTCTTACAGACCATGATAGCTTGTGCTACTTCCAGACTACTCAAGATCTCTTGTGAAGACAGGTCCACTGGGCATAGAGACTGAGAGTCTTTTGATTCACAGTTGACCATGTGAAAGAAATCAAGAATCTGGCAGATGAACCCTTATAAAGACCTGATTATGTTAAGAAGCCTGATCTAGATGACACAAAGAATCATAAGACTGTAAATCAACTGAGAGTGATGCTCACAAACAAGCAAAAGATTCCAGAAAAGTTGGAACTGATAACTTAAGTTTCTTCTAACCAGAGAGAGAAGAGAGAATATGAGAACACACAACTTATCTTCATAAAGCTTCAGATTGCAACCAAGAAACTACTCACAAAGATTATCTTGAAAGACATATACAAAGTGAAGAAGATCACAATACAGGTTCAGAAGACTAAAGACCTGATTTACAAGAAGAACTTTTATAAGAAGGGCAGCTTCAATCTGTTGGCATTATTGCTAAATCTACTGCAAAGTGACAACTATGCAGCCAAGATCTGCAAAGACATTAAGATAGGCATAAAGAAATTCACAATATGGAAAGAGAAGAAGAGCATTCTGTATAGAGATAGTTGTATATACATCTCTTAGAATGAGGCTTTGCAAATAGAGCTGATCAGGCATCATTATAATCTATCTCTCACAGAGCATTTTGCTATAGCAAGAATATACAAGCTTATAGCTCACAAATACTTTTGGTCAAGAATAAGAGAACTGGTGAAGAACTGTTGCAAAGTCTGTGGAGTCTGCCAGAGCTCAAGAGAAGTTTGCAGAAAACTTTAAGAAGAACTATCACTCTTACTAATTTCAAATTACTCTTGGAAATCTATTAGCATGAATGTTATTACAGATCTTTCCACAAGCCTGAATTTTGAAAAGATGCAGTTTAACTGTATTCTAGTTATAGTGAACTAGCTTACAAAGATGGCTCACTTTATCTCTACAATAAAAAGCTGACATTAGAGAAATTAGCTCATCTCTTTGTTTACAAGATAGTGAAATTGCACAGATTATCCACAAGTATAATAACAGAGCAAGAATCTCTGTTCACAAGTAAATTTTGAGGTAATTTAACTTACATCTTGAAGATTACAAGAATAATAAGCATAGCATTCCACCCACAAACTGATGATTAGACTGAGAGACTGAATAGTGTGCTAGAGCAGTATCTGCAAAGCTATATCAGTTATAATCAAGATAACTAGATGACATGATTGCTAATGGCTGAGTTTACATATAATAACTCATAGCAGGCTTCCACACAGAAATCATCTTTTCAGCTGATATATGAATTGAATCTACAAACAAATATCTTGAACTCTGATGGATATAGCTATATGTGCAAGAATTCAAAGAATCAGGCAAAGGCAATAAGATCACTCTGTAAAAAGACTAAGAAATCACTTGTGAAGGCACAAGCCTACCAGAAGAAGTACTATAACTAGAAGCATACTATAAAGACTTTCCAGGTGGGAGACAAGATGTGGCTTGACCTTTGCAATATCAAGATCATGTGGTCTAACAAAAAATTAGATTTGTTGAGACATGGGCCTTGTAGAAGTATGGAGAAGATAGACTTGTGAGTCTATAGACTGGAGCTGCCTCCAGGTCTGTAAACTCACAATATTTTTCATGTATCCCTGGTCCACAAGCACAAGACCTGCAAAGAAATCAATAGCTCACCTCATCACAAAGTTTGTGAGGCAGATGAGGATAAAAAAAAGTATCAGGTCCACAAGATAATTAACTCAAAGAGAGAGGGTTGTGAGCTGTAGCACAGAGTGCATTGGAAAGATTATAATAATAAGAAGAACAAGACATGGGTTCTCACAAGTAATGTCCATCTACTGAGAAAGTTACTCCAACAATTCCATAGTAAAAACCCAGACAAGCCTGGTTTGCAAAAGAGATGAATGGAGGTAGTGAAACTAGAAAATGAGTTAGGGAGAGAAAAGGTATAGTCAAATCAAATTGATTGATTTCAAGAAGAAAAACTAAGCTAAAGACTATATAAGAGCCTCCAGCTTCCTCTCACAGAGATCTGTAACAACTACCTATAATCTTACTGCTGGAAAGAGCAAGTAAGGTGCCTACAGTATAGGCAGTGATTACACTTTTAATCCATGTCTGTGAAGATGCACTTTGCAAAGACTATATTACTATAGTCTTACTGAGCTTTGTTCCAGACAAAGCACTTCTGTTCTAGTAGCAGCTGGGCTCCAGCTCTAGTTACAAGAATACTTTCATAAAGCTGGGTGCAGACAGCTAACTGGTTTGAATTATCCAAACCAGCAATAAGCACAGATTTTTGAATAGGCTCACAACACCATATTCTTTCACAGGCAGACAAAGCTTGTGCCTCAGTATAGAATAAGAGGCCTGGGAGAATCACCAGATTGGCCTGCAACACATCAGTAAAAGTAGCAGCTGGCAGTAATGGGATGAAGATAGTCTGGAACCACCATTGTCAGTCTTACAGAGAGGGTGCTGGGCTATTCCAGACACTCTACAGAACCACAGCATCTATAAACCCAGCCAGAGCAGAGGGAATTGCAACAACAATCTGAAAAAGATTAGCTGTAAACTGAAATGTGATAGAGAATACTCACATTTCCAGCCAGAGCTGGAGCAAGAACTGCAGAAGAGAAAGACAGAACAGGACCCTAACTCTATAAGCATGCAAACCAATGTTAGCTTGTGAAAAGCCCTTACAGCTTAAGCTGGCAGAGAGAAAGTGACAGCTGATGAGAGAGGAGGAGAAGAAGGAACAGTGGTGCTCTAGAACTGTTAGTTATGAACAATTCTCAATTTCTAAAGTCTACTCACTAAAGGCCTAGACATCTCTTCTTTAAAGAGAGGGGATGTGGATGTTCTTCTGAAAGAGAAAAGTGGAGATAACTTGTAAGAGAAAGAGAAAAGAGACTGTGAAGCAGCACAAACTTCTAGCAAGCATTGCCAGGTGGCTCACTAGTAAAATGAGCTGCAGGTGCACTCTAGAGTGCTGGATTTGAATCCTTCAACTGGCACACTCTTTTACCCACCAAAGTTGTGGTGTAAAAGGCAATCCATGTATACTCATGGCTTTACTAAGCTACTTACTATCTTTTACCTAATGATAACTGATGATTGGATAGAGATAGTAGATCCAACTAGCATCTGGTAAAGCTAAAATGAATGTGAGTAGGTAGGCTCCACTGCACTACTAAAAGCTACTTACTATTTATTACCTAATGATAACTGATGATTGGGTAGAGATAGTAGATCCATCTAGCATCTGGTGAAGCTAAAATGATGCAAGTGGGTAGGCTCCACTGCACTACTAAAAGCTACTCAACCTAGTGATCCAATAATAACTAATAATTGAGTGGCTAAAGTGGGGCGCCAATTCAGGGGAATGGATTTGAAAACCACCCAACAAGAGCACCCCTGGTTATCTCTTGAGATAGTCAACTATCTCTTGAGATAATTGGTTAGTCATTAATGGCGAGATCGTGACGGGTAATTGGTAGGCTGGGATGCTGAGATTAGCAACTGGAAGGCGGGGTTTAGTAGCTAGTAGACTAGTTAGCTTCTAGAACTAGTTACTAGATCAGTAGGCTAGGCAGTAGTGGCTTAACTAAAATCAAAATGGTTAATGCTGGCTTGAGAGGACAGTTTGCAGTGGTTGGTTATTATAGGCACATGTATAATAGATTAAGATGTATCTCTCTGCATTTGCATTCCTTACAGGCCTGGTTGATCCCTGGACGGGCCTTAGAGACTCCAGAGCTAGGGCAGCTGTAGGGCCAGAGGCTCAATCAAGATCAATATCAGATATCTGGATGTTTTCTGATAGCCAAGCTGCTATTCAGAGACTCATAAATCAAGATCTTAATTCTGGCTTATATTATCTTCAATCTATAAGAAAAACTGCTAAGTATATAAAAAATCAACAAATTAATCTACATCTTCATTGGGTTCCTGCACATGTAAATATATATGGAAATGAAGAAGCTGATCTAGCAGCAAAAAAAGCTACAGAATTAAATCAAGTTTGTTCAGAGAGATATATATCTCTTACTTATATAAAAAGACAAATAAAAGAACAAGCAATAATAAAGTGATATGAAGATCTTTTTAATAGAGAAAGCTCTACAAATTACTACTCTCAATTCAAAATAAAGCTCAGATGGAAAGCATCAGCTCTTTCTATATTCAAGAAAATATGGTCAACTATTTGCCAATTAAAGCTTGGTCATGAATATTTCAGATCTTATTTAGTAAGATTATCTGACTACTCTTCCAACTTATTCTGTTTCTGCAATTGGGTTGAAAATCCAAAGCATCTATTATTATCCTGCTCAGCTTATCAAACTAAAAGAAGAAAAATTCAACAAGAGCTTAATATTTCTCAACTATCTTTAAATTTTATTTTTGAAACTGAATTAGGCCTAAGATAGCTAGTTTTATTTCTGAAATATACTGGAATAGCTACTAGACAGTGGCTTTCTCAAACATGTTAACTTTATTTCTTTAATTTATGTTACACTGCTACAAGAATTTTGTTTTTCTTTGAAATTTATTTTATATACTATCTGTTATTTGACTTTTGTAGAGAAAGAACATCTTATATTGCCTTGAAATACTGTGATTCTTCTATTTTTCAGCTACTACAATATACACTAAATAAAGCCTAACAGATCAGCTGCTAGGTAGTCTTTATAGTTACTGACTGCATAAGACTATAATGAATAATAATAATAATAATAATAATTTTAGCAAGCATCAGCCTCTCTGTGAACCAAATCTCATGTGAAAGCAAAACCTTATGACCATGTGAAGCAAAGGTACAACCAGGGGTGAACTCACTAACTTGTGATCTTGTGGCCAGACAGGCAGAGCATCAAGATGTAGCTATTTTTTTTCTTCTAGAACATCAGAGACCTCCTGCAAGCCTGCCTTCTACATAAAGCAGTGCTTGAAGGGTTCACTTACCTTGGTAATTATAATATAAACTAGAGAAGAAAGAGAAGAAAAGAAAGAGAAAGAGAAAGCAAGAAAAAGCTCTCTCTTAAGCTAGTGCTTATTATCTAATAGTGACACAGAGCTAGTGAAAACAATAAGAACTCTCTACATATTGTTGTGTTATTGAGCTCTGTTATATTATTGTGTTATTAGAGTTGTGTTAATATCATATCTCTAGTGAGACTGTACTCTTTTTCTTATAAGAAAATTTTTATTTTTCCTAAGAGATTTTTTTTTTCTACTCATGAAGGTTTTTAATAAGACAGTCATCTTGAAAGACCAAGGCTTACAAGGGAGAAGAATCTGTAAGAATCTGCCTGTAAACCTCTTACATGAATAAGAATTTACCCACAAACTTCTTATATGAATAAGAACTTGCTACAAATTCTTTCTACAGACAAATCAACATCTGTAAAAGTCAAGAGCCTCAGCTTGTGAACTGTTAAGAGTTGCATGTGTTCTTGTAAGACATTAAGTCATGTGCCTGCAAGCACACATAAAAGACTGCTGCTGTGTGAATCTCTTGCTGAGAGCCAGTGGCAATCTTGTCTACAAGTCATATATAGTTGCTAATACCAGATCCTTTACCTTATGTACTCTTTTCTATGTACAATTTCTCCTATAGATTCATTGTCACACCAATTCACATGTATGATTCTCACAAATGGCTGGACACCTAGTTAATTCTAACAGTATCTGTTGCTTTGCATAGTGATTTTCTCAGACAAAAATGCTGTTTTATTAAGACTAATCATCTTTTACACTCACCAAGTGATTTGGCATGGCAATAAAATGCTTTTGAAGATTTCACATTTTTAAAGTCATCTGATTTCTTTATCAGTCATGTCTACAAGAGAAATTTCAAAGAAAAATCATTATTTGTTAATCTTTATTCATGTTTAATCTGTTTTTGCAGTTTGCATATTTTATTTTATTTATATATGTCTGTCAGGTTTCTTTGCAAACATGTCTTCTTTTCTTCAAGAATTTTTTTTCTTCAAGTTTTACCTAAAGTATTAAGAGATGCATCTGTGTTATCTGTATTATTTACTGATGTCTTACTGATGGTGGCTTTACTGCTACCAGCACCTTTATCAATATTTATTTTCTTCACATTAGCCTCTATCTCTGTCAGGTCTGCAATGTGAGATATTGTTATAGTTCATCTTATGAATCTTGGTAGCATTCTACTAATTTAGGCAATCATATGTCAGACCATTTAAAATGTTAAAAGAGGGACTTAATATAGATTTCATGAATTGTCTTAGATTTTGGAGGTACAAAAGAGCTAAATAGGTGTAATGCTCACAACTGATAGAAGAGAGTCATGCATAAAACATATAGATCTGCTAACTAGAAGACTGAATGCTAAGGTTTCTACAATATATAAGAATTATGCAATTCTTATATGTTTAGAGATATGAACTACATGATATTCTCTAAACATCTGATGTGGTCTGATGCTTGGGTGGTTTAGATCTAGATTTGTAATATTGTGTTCTTCTTTGTATACTTAAGTTTATCTGTCTTGTGATAGCTATATCTCTTCTTTAGATAATTCTTAAAAGCCTCTTGTGTATTTTTGAGATTTTTCTCAGATTTTCATATTGATTTCTTAATAGAAAATTTCTTTCACTTTACTAGATAATGCTTCTTGCAATAGTGCACTTTATTGTCTAAGATTTTATCTACTTCTTATTTGTGATAATTATCAATCAGTACTGCAGAAGAATGTATTAGCATCTTGCTCTTTTCTATATAATATAGTTTTAATAATAAGATATAAAAAATGTTGTAAATCTGATAGCTTGATAAGAGCTTTAGTTAATATGCATTATTTTCTATAATCTTCATTACTAAGAAAGATTCATAGTACATTTTATCTAGCTTCTTGCAGAAATATATTATATGTAAGTTTTCTAATAATAATATTACTCTGTTACCAGATACATATATCTTATCTTAATATTTCTGATTATAGAACTGTTCTTAATTCTTCTTTACCTTTGTCAAATATTCTATCAAACTATCTCTTAATATAGAGATTATTTTCAGTCTTCTGTTAAATATTGTCTGTATGTTTTTGATCAACTTCTAAATCTTGTCTGACTTTCTAAGTTCAAAGTGGTATACTACTCCAAACAAGAACATATATATTGTGAAGTGTCCTAATCTGCTGTATACAAACCCTGTATACATAAGCCACTTCTTCTAACTATCTTGCCTATAACTATAGTAGATATAAAGATATCTTTTCAAGATCTTGTTTAGTATCTCTGTTTGATTATTTATTTATAAATAAAATATCATACTAAGCCTCTATCTAACTTTCATATGAAGATATAGCTTTGATCAGTATTTATTTCTACAGTCAGATTTCTAATCTGAGATAATATTGTCTGGAAATCTGAAGTTCTTAAATATCTTTCTTAATAAGAGATTTATCATTTCTAATATATTAATTTTCTTTCTACACACAAGAAAATATGCAAGTTTTGTAAACTAATTTATAATAACTGGAACTGTATTGTATAAATTTCTCTTCTTTCTACTTAGAGAAAGATCTGTTATAAAATTTATAAATATCAAACACCACAGACTACTGAGTATTAGCAATGAAGTAAGTAGTCTATATAATTAGTGTCTTAAAGTCTTTTCTCATTTGCAGGTTTAGCATTCATATATATATATATCTGAATATCTTGTCTCATCAAATACTATTTGTATTTTTGTCAGAGTAAGACAAATATTTTTAATATATTAAAGTAATCTGTAAATAAGTTATTATAGTGAACTTGTAGTATGTTTCTATCTTAAAGCTAAATTACTTAAGATGTAGATTTTACCACTTTTTATTAATAGGTCTTGTCTACTAATTTTCTACTCTGACTGCTGAGATTCTGTCTTGATAGATCTTGCTTGTATAGAGAGATTATGTCTCTGTACCTCTAGCAACAGATTCAACATACTCTTAGTTAATTTATTATAGATTTTTTTATCTTTTGTTGCTATATTTATATACACACAGAAAATCCAGAATCTTTTGTAATTTCTATATTAAGTTTTTCTAGTATCTCTAACTGGTGCTTCTTGAACTAACTTAACTATCTTAATGCTATCAGATCTTTTCTGTATTATCTCTATCTCTCTGCTTTAAATGGCAAGAGCAGCATGTACTTAAATATCTTCTTTATTAAAAGAAGTTTTTTTAAATAAATTCCACTCTGGAATACTATCTGTATATTATTATTTGAGTGTATATATAGAAAGATCAATGTTCTCTTCTAGTTTGATATAGTTCAGTCTTTGTGATAATATGTCAGCTGGGTTATACTTCCCAGAGTGGTAGAGAATCTTAAAGTTATACACTCTGAGAATCTCAATTCATTTTATGTATTATTGTTGTGCCATCTTGTTTGTGGACTTCATGAATGAATAAAGATTTGCATGGTTTGTAATAATCTCTTGAGTATTGCTTGAATTTGGAATCGACAAGTGATTAATTGGTGGTATGGGACGTAAGAGACTGATATTTTCTATATGCAGCAGCAATCACGATGGCTCCGACCCAGCCCAGGAACCGAGTGCTATGTTGAGGCGGCTCCCACAGGCAGTGCCGCCGCTGAGGAATATGACATTATAGTGCCATTCTATCACAAGGCCTTTCAGCACCATGCTGTTGATATCGGTCCATTTGTCTCATTTGCAGATTTGTGCTCTGGCCGGAGGGTCCTAGGTTTTGGCTGCGGTGCTGGATGGGTCACTGCACAAGCAGCCTCCCGAGTAGGGCAAAGGGTCAAGCCATCGCCATTGATGCCAGTAGGTTTTGTCTCGGACAAGCTAGGGGCAACATGACATTATCAGAATTGCGGATTGTACGCTTTCTGAGAGGGGATATACATAATCTCAACAAATTATCTGTGCAAGAGGGTTCAGAAAAGGGATTCGACAGGATTCTTCTCTTGGTGATGCAACTCATCCTCCCTGACCAGGTGCAATTTCTCCGTCACCTCACAAACATACCTGTCGCTCGAGGCTTGATCGTGTCCAGCCAGGACCATGAGCACCATGATCTTGCTTACATCGGCCCACTCCCCTTTGACAGTTCGGATACTGAGGAGCTGCATTGGGTGATTAGAGGTGCATGGAGTTTCAAGCAAACTCAATGAGTTGCTGGAACCCAGATCAGGAGCGCTGGACTTAACCAGGTTAAGGTGGAGGACTTGCTACCGAGAGGATCAATGCAAGTATGACCATTCTGCTGATATGCGCCACGACGCAGATATAGCATGGCAGAGAGATGGGTGTGTCTCAAAAGAGCGTTCAAGACAGTATCTGGGATACTTTAAGGGATCATGAAGGACAGGAGGAAAAGAAAGCAGAACATTGCCATCAAGAATGTTTCAATCCTTGTGGCGGCCACGCGTCCGGATCCTCAGGGCAGCGATCTAGCTGATAACTGAGACTGGTCGACTGCTCTCTAGTGTTAGCACAACAAATCGATATTTTGTAAGGTGACATCAGGAGGCAGACAAGTGGTTACCTGTATGTAACTAAATCCCTAGCGACTTCAGCATTTCTGCGCGTCTGCATTGCACTTCCTTTGCACCTCCAAACCTCTTGGCAGAATCAGATGATGGACTCCAGAAATATGAGTGGCCACGTGCGGGAATTTCTGCTTGTGAAATAGTTTATCAGCACATTTCTGTAGAACCGGCACATGTTGTTCTTACTCTGTCAGGTTGATTTAGGTGCACCATTTCTTAGTCTTGAAGACATCTCCATCTCAAAACGCTGCTTTCCATAGGGCTCAGGTTCACTACGCAACTCAGCCAACATATCCGTGCCTGGCGGGAAATCATGCTCGAATATCGGTTCGCCCGCACCTCGCATGTTTGCTAGAACTGCCTGTCGGAAATGCCAACGCAACAGTGTATCAGAGACACAGTGAGGGTCTTGTGGGTTACGGCAAACAGGATCCAGGGTCCTACCATCCAGTCCAAATGGATCTGGACCGAAATAGGTGACTTTATAGCCGTCCTGTTCCATATTTGTTAGAATGGCCTGCTTTTAGTTTTGTTTCCAGGGTACTAGCTTACATCCGGGTTGATTGAGAACAAATAGTTATCAAAGTCTGAGTGTAGATCACCTCGCAGCAACAATCCATTTTGGATGGAATTGATCGTTGAGACTCCAGTTGTGCCGTCCATGTCTGTAATCCACCGCCCGTAATTGAACTCGATCCAGACACTTTCACAGTCCAGTGGAAACACATGGGCTGCCTCAAAGCCAGACCACGTATTCCACGGGGCCCGAACGTTCACAATGCCGGATACCACACACTTTCCATCGCGCGCGCGGACACCGTCACGAAATGCATCGACTCGACCGGATATGCTGTGACTAATGAGTCGAGCGACCCATGGTTCGTTGTTCACGCGAATAGAGCCTGAAGGGGGACTTAACACCTATTAACTGTGATTGTTTGTGTGAGTGATAACTTACTTTGGCAGTAAATTTCGTACTCGCCCGGCTGAAGGGGTGCATTCATTGATCCAATCGCAAGCGCAGAATTTCGATGTTTCACACTCCACTGATCATCAACAACAAGAAGAACACCCTCGAGAATCGACAGAAGATTCGCTTCTGTCATGGAGCCATTTTGATGAGTCCCTCCCAGTAAGTTCCCAGTCGAAGCTTCATATAGCCAGACGTTCCTCCAGGATGCTCGATCGATGGGCATCTTGGAAGCGTTGTTGGTCGTTGCTTGTTCTGATTTAGGGATTAAGTTCCAGCCATCAGTATTTAAAGCACAAATTGCGTCTCACAAAGGTAATGCAAGCAGGGTGATGTGGGAAGTTTGAGGAGTGGATTGGCCGTCAGGCCACATCAAGCTTGATAGAGCGGATTGATTGCTGCAATTTGGTAGGAAGGCTACGGTGGTCGAACTAGTGGACATATGGGGGGGGGTCACGTGCATGAGGGGTGAGCTGTATCACCTGACAAATCTAAGGTCGCATGACTAAGCAATGCTGGTTTTGTTGGAGCATGGAAAACTAAGCTTTGTTGTGCTGCTACAAAAGAGGCTAGCAAGATCTCATCTCTTACAGTGAGATGGAGCTTGGCAGTAGAAAAGAGTTGAACTAAGAGTGATCACATGAGATCACATGCACACTAAGTCCAAAAGAGAAATGTGTAAATACTCTCACTCACTCTCAGAGTAACTGATTTGCTAGCTAAGAGAAAACTTTAAAGCTTATCACTAGCAAGATTCTGAAATCTCTCACTATAGAGATTCATACAAGCTTCCAATAGAGAAAATAAGCTAATTACATGCAAATCAGATAAAAATCTTACAGATAAAACTCTGTAAGAGAAAAATTTATAAGAAAATTATATTATTCTCCAAGTGTCTCCTACCATTTAGTATTGTCCCCCGTATCTACTATTCTGTCTAGATACTTTACATTGCCACCTCCTTCATCTACGGTTCCGCCTTCATCTTATATACAGAATGATAATTTCCCTCTGCCATAGCTACATACCTCTTACTTAGGCTCTACAATGTATCAGCATAATTTGCCCTATCCTTCTCCGCATGCCCCAAGCTCCCATGATTCTGCAGCCTATAAGTAGATAAATGACCGCTATTTTATAAGTATTTCTTTATTTTGAGAAATCTGTCTTTATATTCTTTAAAGACCTCAAGCTCAGTTCTACAACATACTTATAATAAAGATCTTTAGATAACAGCTTTGTGAGAATATCTGTTATTATTTTATTAGTGTAGTGTTAGAAGGAAACCTGACATAGACTTTGTAGATCATTCTAGATTTAAGGTATGAAAGGGCTAAATAAATGTGATGCTCACAACTGATGAAAGAAAGTTGTGTGTAAATATATAAATCTGCTAACTAGAAAACTAAATGCTGAGGTTTCCATAATTTATAAAAATTGTGTAATTCTTATATATTCAGAAATATAAATCATGTGATGTTTTCTGAACATTCAATATTATCTGATGCAAGATTGACCTAGATCTATATTTATAACACTATTTTCCCTCTTAGAAATCTTGAACTCTAATATACAAAGTTACTAAGATAATTTTTTCATACATTATTATAGCTTCTCTGTTATTAGTGAAGTGTTGTAGATTCTTGAATATGCAGGCTTTTGCATCTCTATTACTTATCTATATAAATATTCTGCATATGTATTATTACTGATTGTAGTAGACATTCTTTGTATTCTTTATTGTAGAATATTAATTATTTTATTATAAAAGTTTAGTGTTTTACTATATTATTGTTTCTTTGTTTATTTACTTGTCTGATTACTATATTATTTGTTGTCTGTTGTTGTGTTTGTTTATTAACAAGTTATAAAACTAGTGACTTTAGTGCATTATAAAATAAATATAAGTAAAAAGTTCTTTACTCTCTTTCTTCTTCTCTTTCTTCTACTCTGTTTAAATGCAAGTATTATTATTTCTTTTAATTTAGCTTATCACAATATTATTATTAAAAGATTTTATTTCTTATAATACAAAAAATGCTTTTCTGTATTCTGTCTGTATATACTTAATATTTACAGATTACTTAGACAAATTTATATTATATATATAAGATATTAGTAAAGAGTTATGTATGTATTGCTTAGAATATCAGACTCAAATCTGTTTAGACTGGTATTCAGAACTGAAACAGGATTCTATTTTCTATTGAACCTGGTTCTGGTTCTGAATTTAGAAACAGCCAGAATTCTAAATATGAAATCTTAGTCCCATGTTCCATTTTACTTAAGAGCTTGAGATCTCATTCCCATCTCTATTCCAGAAATTATTTTCCAGTCCCATCCTTAAATAGAAAATTATGTCCCATATTCCATTCCAGCAGAGATGATAGACTTTTATTTTTCATTCCAGCTGAGTCTATAATGAGATCAGGATGGGACCAGAATTCCTAGTTTCATCATGTCAAATTTATAGAGAAGAGTCAAACTGATCAAATTTTGTATAAACTGTTATTAAATTTTATTACTTTTTTGATAAAGGTAGAACTCTTAGAAAAATTAATTTAATTGTCAAAAGAAACAAAATATTAAAACTAACTAATAATTAAAGTCAGCAAATAAACAGAAACTATCTAAATAGTAAGTTAATTATTATTATTATCATCTTTATCATTATTATTGTTCTTCTTCTTCTTTTTCTTCTTCTTCTTCTCCTCCTCCTGCTCCTCTAGAACCAGCTTTGTGAACCAGACAAAGGCTTTAATACTCATTATTTAATGGGTGAAGACTGTGATGGTGCTAGGGAAAGGCAGAGAGATGGTGATAGATGATAGTGGTGGTGGTGGAGCAGTGGTAGTGGTAGTTAGCAGGGCAGAGGCAGCATTGGCAAATCCCTACCAGGCCCAGGGCTAGCCCCGGGCGTCTGGGCGGCCAGGGTGTCTGTGCTTATGTCACTTCCCTGGACTCACCCCAGGCAGGCACAGGACTCACCCTGGTAAGTATTTTTCTCTGCCATGGTCCCAGGCAACTTCTAATGTAATGAGCACCTTTACTGCATTTGCTGTTAATTTAGTATATTCTGTGGATGCTATTATTTTCAACAACTCTGTTGTGTCTACTAGATCTGTTATTTTTCATTGATCTGTGCAAGCTGCTTTCTTTCACATTGGTGTAAATAACAGCAATAAAGATGTTATTAATATTTTTATTCACTTCACTAATGATATTGCTTATATAATTACTATTATAATTAATATAAACAACACTATTATCAAATGCATTAATGTTCTATTTCATGCTGCTGCTGCTAACACCAGAGGTGACAATAAATATGCTGCTCTTAACTTTACTGTAGAAAATAAATCTAGTAATGCAGCCAGGTAGTTCACTACTACTGACATGAAAAACATAATTACACAGAATCTTATATACACTTTTTAATACTATTAATCTTGCTGTACAGTCTGACTATTTTATACTGTACAGCTAGATTAGCAAGCTTTACCCATCAATTATTATTTTCTGGCCTTCTCATACTCTGTATTCTCAAGAACATGAGAACTGCTCTTTTTATTATCTTTATTATCTTTATTATCTCTGTTATCTCTGTTGTTTCTATCAGCTCTATTATCCCTGTTATTCCTATTGTCTCCATCAACATCAGATATCTTGTTTATCATAAATATGCTCCAAGTCAATATTCTTAATGTTAACAAGGCTCTATATTTTTGATTCACATCTGTTAGTACAATTCAACAAACTGGAGTTAACTTTATGTCAGACCAACTAAAGTACTGTCATTCAGGGTCCCAATATTACTATACTGCAATATGCACTTATTATTATTGCTAGTATCTTTCACAAAGTCTAGCTCTACCAAATCATCCAAACCATTCTCATACTTATTAATAATATTAGCAGCAGCAGGCTCTCTCTTCTTCTGAGCATTCTATTCTATATAAGCTCTTACTTTGTCAAGAATGATTTTGCAAATATATGATTGTCATTCTTCTGTCTGTTGGTTTCAAACAGCTTATAGGCATTTAAAAACATCTATTAAAGCATAGTACTAGTTAGCTTTCAAATCAATTAACTCAGTATCTGTAAAGCAGCTTACCCTGCACAGCTTGGCCCTCAAATCTGATATATTCACAACTACCAGTCTCATACTTCTTGATAGTATGGCACAAACATGTCAACACTCAAATGATGCAACCAGCAGGCAGAGAATCAAAGAGATATATAGTGTGTTCATTCACAGCAGAGCTGTACATACCTCTATTATAGAGAAACTGATCAACAGCAACATATATTATTGGGTTCAGAAAGTGTCTCTTGCCATTCTGCCATTCCAGACTTCTTAGTAGTAGATTTCATCAGATGAGTGCCTTAGAAAAGTGTTGTGTATCTTTTTCTCTAGATTGAAACATATAAAGCTATCTTTAAAAAAAAGATCTGCAGCAGTCTTTTTCTGCTCTTCAGCTATTAATTCAGAGAGTTTTTCTATTATAATATTACAAGTCTTTTTCATGAAGTGCCTCTGTACAAAACTTGCAATATTGCAAAGCTAATATATAATATTAGAAACTTGTTGTATCTTGCAAAGATAATAAGACTTACTTTTTTAGCTTCTGTCTTGTTTCATTTATTAGATGAAGTACTTGATATATCACTGATATTATATCTGCTATTATATTATATCTGCACTGCTCTTATCCAGACATTCTCAATCATTTCACTAAGTTAATCTGTGTCAGCAAGATATTCAGATCATGGTGTTAGTTAATCATCTGATACTCTGTCAAGATTCAAACCAGAAAACAGCTGTGCTTAGGCTGGTATTCAGGACCGGGACAGGATCCCATTTCCCATTGAATCTGGTCCCTGTCCTGAATTTAGAAACAGCCGGGATCCCAAATATGAAATCTCAGTCCCATGTCTCATCCCACTCAAGAGCTTGAGGTCCTGTTCCCATCTCTATGTCAGAAATTATTTCCCGGTCCCATCCTCAAATAGAAAATTATGTCCCACATTCCATTCCAGCAGAGATGGTAGACTCTCATTTCCCATTCTGGCTGGGTCCATAGTGGGACCAGAATGGGACCAGGATTTCTGGTCTCATTATGTCAAATTCATAGGGAAGAGTCAAACTGATCAAATTTTGTGTAGACTGTTACCAAATTTTGTTACTTTTTTGATGAAGGCAGAACCCATAGAAAAATCAATTTGATTGTCAAAAGAAACAAAGTATTAAAACTAACTAATGGCTGAAGCCAGCAAATAAACAGGAACTGCCTAAATGACAAGTTAATCATCATTATCATCATCTTCATCATTATTATTGTTCTCCTTCTTTCTCTTCTTCTTCTTCTTCTTCTCCTCCTCCTGCTCCTCCAGAACCAGCTTTGTGAACCAGACAGGGGCTCTAATACCCACCATTTGATGGGTGGAGATCCTGATGATGCTGGGGGGAGACAGAAAGGTGGCAGCAGTAGTTGGTGGGATGAGGGCAGCATGTGGGTGATGGGTGATGGTGGCAGGGGTGGAGTAATCAGGTGCATCAATTGGGCTGAAATAGTTTGACCTGATTTTGGTACTGATGCCAAGAATGAGCTTCATATCATTGGTGTTGACCATAATGTGCTTATGGTGCGCCATTGCCATAACAGAGCCTATATTACTCAGTATAATTGTTGGTGCTATTGCTAAGAATGACTTACACTCAAACAGAGCACACAAGATTGCTTCAGCTGTCTTCTGAAGTGACTCAATGGCAGTATGTTGCCAGTAATATTCATGTTCTTGATGACAGGACAAAGTAATTTTCTGAACTAATTGCTGGAATGGGGCCACCAGCAAGATTAGCTTGGTAGAGCTCTGGAAGTGGTGGATTTTCTTGATGGCATCTATTTTCACCAATTAGCATCAAGACTGTTACCAAAAATTGTTACTTTTTGACATATGAGTGCTGGCCTTCCAATTTTGAATGGGGGGACAGGGGTGGGGATTCTCCTGATCAAAGTTGGCCAGGTCAACATCTTTATTAGCTTTATGCCAATTACTCTTCTTCAGGGCCCATTCTTTCAATGTAGCCTTGTGCTGCTTCTCTCCAGCTGTGTGAAATGGATGTGCATGGGGAAAACTAACATCTTGTCAGTAAATAATGTGTGCCAGAGTAGTATTCTGCAAGCACTCACCTCTTAATGTGACCCATTTTGTCACAGTATATGTTCATTGTATGTGTGGATGTTGAAGTGCAGTAAATAAAAAGGTGGTGGAGGGGGGAGGGGAGGAGAGAATCATCAATATTAGCCCTGAAGAGAAAGAAGAAGAAGAGGAAGAGAAAGAGAAGAGAAGAGAGACTGACCTGATGTTATTATCCTGTAGCCAGCATAGCAACAATGTGTTGATCTTGCCCATAGCAACATGCCTGTGGAATGTAAACAATATGTATAGTAACTATTCTACAGTACTTGGTCAATACACTCTATAATCCCATTATTCTGTAGCCAGCATAGCAACAATACATTGAGCTTGCCCATAGCAATGTGCCTGTAGAATGTAAACAATGTGTATAGTAATCATTCTATGCAAGTACTTGGTTAATATACTCTATAATCTCATTATTCTGTAGCCAGCAATTCAACTCATCACATACAATTGTGAAGATGGGGCCAAAACAATATTCAATAAGAGAGAAGACCCATGTGGCACAGGAGCACTGCCAGGCCTTGAAAGGCCATCAAAAAGACATATTCAAGACAGGAGAGGTGGATTGCAAGGCATGCCATGACATGCTGAAGAAGATCTGAGCAAAACATGAGTGGTATGCACTCTCAGTGATTTGTGTTGAATCATATTGACATCTATTGCAGGCAGAATAGCAGCAAGAAGGATTGCAAGATGATTGAAGATAAAGCTATTGAAGAGTTGATGGTCAAGTAATTTGCCAAGGGCAAGTCAAAGGAGTATCATGAGCACCAGCTCATGGTCTCTCAGCAAAAGAAGAGGGAGGAAGAGAAGAAGCATTGCTGAGAAGAGACTACAGAGACTGAGAATGAAGCTCAGCAGAAAAAGAAGATAGGATTCAAAAGTAATGAAATTTGGTAATAGTTCTGACATATTTAGGCCAAAACAAGTCAGGTACAGCATCCTATTGCTGCACATAAGAAGGCCTGATTCTGCCAAATGATAGCCAGGCTTGAGGCCAAGATCATGGCCCATGATCATGATTGTCTTGCTGTGGTTGGTGTATTGAGAGAGGGGGTTGAGAAGAAGATGAGAGAATTCCTGGGCCAATTACAGGGTCTGAGTGAAGACAACAACAGCCCACCTGCCCCAGAGGAGATGGAGGAAGATGATTTTGAGATTGTGGTGTTCTCTGATGAGAATGATGAGGAGGATAATGAGATGGAGGATGATTGGATTATTGATATCTAGAGGAGAAAGTTAGGTTTTTAGTTCTTTTTTCATATTAATTTGAGAATGGGGTGTCATTAAATTGGCAAAATGTTTTATTTTCCTGAAGAAGAATGTTCCATTTTGTAGAAGAAGAAGATTTTGTAGTTGGTTGCTGTACTTACAGAGTAAAATGAGGCTAACTATCTAGAGATTATCAAATTTTGTGTGGGCTCTGACCACATTTTGTTACTTTTTTGACTAAGGCAGAACTTAGAGAAAAATTAATTTAATTGTGAAAAAAAAAAAAAAAAAAAAGAAAAATCTAATGGCTGAAGCCAGCAAACAAGCAAAATCTACAGAGGTTTCTTCAGAATTAATCATAGTTCAACATGGAAAAAAACAATTTGTATTATGGAAGGAGCTGCATCATAAGTTGTTTGTTACTTGGTGGTTGACTACTGAAGCTGCTCAGTTAGTTAATGATAAGAAGTGTGGTGACCCCAACTGGAAGACAAAGCAACACCATTCTGATTTTTGGTCAAAATTTGATCAGATGGCAGAGCATTCTAAAAGCACTCCAGGGGTGATTTGCAAGCATTGCCAAACCTTTCTCAGCCATTCAAGCTTTTCTCAAAACAGTACAAGTGGTCTGAAGAAGCATTTAACAAGCAAAGATTATATAAAAACTGGTGATGGACAGAGTAACACTCTGGTTAACATGATGGTAGGTCATGAATTCTAATTTCTCAAATGTAATGAATTTTAGTAATGATTCTGGTGTCTTAGCAACAGTTTTCAAAGCATCCTCAAACAGATTCAGATCTGCCTGTTTCTGAATGCAATCAAGACAATTTTCTCCAGCAGCTTGTGCAAACATTAATATTCTTGAATCTCTCATTTTGTGCTATTGAGAATCCAGCATTCTGCACATTAATAATCATGCTCAATCCTGCAATAGCTTTACAGATACCCACACAAGGAACATTATATCAGGTCATGAATGATATGTACAATTAGCTATTCTGAAATCTTCTCTTTGACCATGACCCAACAACCAAGGTATCTCTGACAGTGAATAATTGGACAAGTCCCAATAACCTTGCCTTTATGGCAATTAATGGTTATTACATTATAAAGGATTGGGAGTACTGTGAGCATTTACTGGATTTTGAAAGTTTAGAGGGTGCTCATACTGGTAAGAATATGACAGAGATTCTCCAACAATCACTAGTAGCATGGAGGCTTGAGAGCAATCTTCTTGCAATTACAAGTGACAATGTGTCAAACAATGGTACCATGCAAGCACATCTTATATATCAGTTGAGGCCAGCATTGCAGCAGTTGAACAAGATAACTGATTGGGATGCAGAGAGTGGAACAATACTCTGTCTTGCTCATGTGATTCAACTTGTAGTTTGAGAGCTGGTTTGCAATCTCAAGATTCAGCCAGACAATGATACTCTACCCACTATCTTTGATGAGAGCTCAATTACTGATGATCTAGCATCAACAGACACATTTGCAAATACTCTTAGAAAGATAATGAAATTTGATAACAGTCTTGATATACTTGAGTTGATTTACTAATCTTTGCTTGACAATAGATTCATCTTGTTGCCAATGCAACCAATGCTTCCCCCCAACTTGCTGCATGTTTCTGAGAATATCAACAAGAGAACCAGTGCAAGATGATTCAAGATATTTGCACAAGATGAAATTTCATCTATGAGATGTGTGTTTGTGCCTTGTTGCTTCAACAAGCTGTAAACTCATGGATCCAGGATTCATAACCAAAATACCAAAGGCTTCACTTATTGGACCATGACTGGAAGCAGCTAGAGTATATGGTTGGACTGTTGCAGCCATTCAGTTAATTTACCAAGATACTGTTCAAAACAACAGGCCCAACAATTCATCTAGTATGGGTAATGTACAATCATCTTTTCCAGTATTTAGAAAGAGAGGAGGACAAGGCCCAACAGTTGACAACAAGAGAGAACATTCAAGAAGCTATCAAAGCTGCCAACTTGAAATTCCAGAAATACTATAGTGATACTGAGCATCCAAAGAGTGAGCTGCTAGCTGTAGCTGCTGCCCTCCATCCATCACACTGCATGAGAGCATATGATTCAGAGGATTGAACCAGTAATGAGTGTGAAATATACCAACAATATATTTTGAGGTTTTACAAAAAGTATTATAAGAAATATGAACAGCCAAGAGAAGTAATACTTGATGTGAATGATGTATGTTTGTTATAAGTATTATTCTGATTTCTTCTCTGCTAACTTCTCTAGGATATTGAGCAAATGATTTTTGAGAGACCCCATTAAAGATGAGTAAATTTCCAAAATGAAATGGAGTGATATTTAAATAACAAGAATTTGACATCATCTTGAGCTCCAATTCTGGAACAGTGGAGGATGCTAGAGCCTGATTTTCCAACTGTTGCTTGGATGGCAAGGGACATTCTGGCTATATCTTTAACAGAGATTGGAGTAGAACAGATTTTCAATGTTGCTTGGGATACATGTCATTATTGATGATTGCAGCTCCATGCATCTACAATCAAGAAGATCATGCTGCTTAAACATGGAGATAAGGTACATATGCTGGATGAAGCACTCATATTGCATGAGGAGTTGGCCAAGGAAGTCATTCAAGATAATCAAGATGATCAAGATACTCCAGAGATTGTACAGGAAGAGATTGCAAGCTTGCTAAATCCACTACTCAATCCAGATAAGGAACAGAAAATATGTCAATGTTATCAATAGATAGATTCAAGTAGCTAATAGCTTGCAATATGATCCAATTATGCAAAGAGCATTACCAAATTTTGGTACTTTTCTGAAGTTGAATAAATTGATAAAATTATGTTAGGACTGTTACCAAATTTTGTTACTTTTTGACAACACAAATGGGACTGGGGTTTCTGGTCCCATTCTACACTTTACTGGTCCTGTCCCATATACAATATTGAAATCCTGGTCCTATCCCATTTTGTCATGTCAGGTCCCAGGCCTGTTCTACTAGCTAGATTTTGATCCCAGTCCCAATCCCATCCCAATCCCAGTTCCCATGGAACTGTCCCAATATGCTGTTAAACAACCTGGTCCCATCCCATTAAGCTGAGCTTCAACCTGATCCCGTCCTTGGGACAGGAATTGGGATGGGAATCTGGGACCGGGACGGGAAATCCCGGAACCGGATACCACTCTAGCTGTGCTCTCCAGAGTTACTTTGCAATGGAAAGCACTGCTTTGTTAACTGCATTCAGTAATCTGACCAGACAACACCACTTGACATCATATTATATCACACACTTTAAAGCAGGCAGCTGGATACTGAAAGATATATCTACTGTATTTTCTGAAGTTGCAGTGCTTCTAACTTTAGTGTCAGAATTTTGCTAAAGTTCTTCAGTCATCTGCAATAGCTTCTATCATATTGAATATTATTAGTGCTAGCAGATGCATTGTGATTGCAATTTACTTTGTCAAATAATATATTAATATCATTATTCTTTGTCAAGTTTATTGCTTCTTGCATCATACTATTCTGTAGCATTAATAATACATCTCTGCCTATTAATTACATTTGAATTAGGAATTATGTCTGTAATGTATTATCAAAATCTGACTAACTCTGTCTGCTGTTCAGAGAACCCACTGACTGTTTAGTTAATGTATTGTATTTGACTGCCTATTACTTGCATTAACTGTTTATCTGATCTTAGAAAAGCTCTTGTAGTACTTACTGGTTTGATTCTCTTTCTTATCATTTAAGAAGTAGCAGATGCACTTCTGTACT